ACAGCATGAATTATAGTACGCATCAACAATTCGTCGATCGCATCTATTCTACCTTATGATCATTCTACTATATTCAATGGCACTGATAACATTGCGCATTTTACTTGTCATTTGATGACCGCTGAAGATGGACTCAGCTCGATTGGAAACAGGATATATTTGAATAAAATTTATACGCGGTATAAACCTTTGATAATCATGACGATCAAGAGCTTTCAACTAGTACAAAGAGCTTAAGTAATATCTTTAAAACTGTTGCTAATAAAGCACATATAGTACCAATATAAAACAAAGAGAGTACCGACTCATGAAGCATCATTTTTCGAGAACAAGACGTTGTTCTAAAAGGCAGCTTTTTACTGTGGAAATCATACATCTGACAGCTATTGGGGAGCCTTACTGTGCCCCGCTGCATTCCGCTGTGGAATAAAGTTCTTCCTTAACTGTCAAGGCATTTCTCTACCACTGATTTACGAAGGCATTAAAAATGCCAAGAAATGGTGGCATAATTAAATGGCTCGTACAAATCCAGCGGCAAGGAATAATTATGTAACGCAGTGAAAACCGAATCATGAAGTTACGCCTGTTATTTTATGTATCTGTATAATAGACATTTTTTCAAGAATAAATTATTACAAACTGTACAAACGGTATTTGCATATCTAACATAAAGTATTGCAAAGAAATTTTGATTTAACTGAGCGAAAGTCCGTATTTAATTAATATTTTTTTCATATGCTATCCAAAGTCTGTTTTTAAATCTCGCCCCCCCCAATTTAGTATATAAATCAATTTCACGTAAAACCAATACTATCCCAGATATTCGACGAGAGATCCAGTATGGAATTTACATATCCAATGGGGGAGTCATTATATGATCCAATATGTACTTTATTGTACATAGGTAAAGGCTACGTAACACGCAAATAATGTAGGCAAACATTACTAAAACTTTGTACAATCAATATTTGTAACAAGATAACTGTGCAAAGATGTCCATTACGCTCGAGATTAGCTGAAAGTACGAAAGGATATATACCTAAAGCCAAACGAAGTCTCTCAGACAGTGGCATGAAATCAGACTGAATTTTAATAAGTTAGTGTGTGCTTGACAATCGCTAAACAATGGAGAAATTAAAATTCAACACATGTGTAATGGATTTTTCATCATAAAACATTTAAATAAATAATCTCACCAACAACGAAATAATAATAAATTTAAACGAAAAAACGAACAACAAATGACAACAACGACTTACCGGAAGCAAAGCAAGAGAGCCGGTAGGAAGAAACTTCTGCCACGCAGTGTCGTTATCAGGATTCTAAAATTGCCGTGAAAAGATTAACGAAAGCAAAAGCGATTTAATCGTCAACCATGTTACATCGACAGGCTTTAAGGTGAGGTTGGCGACGATGGATTTTTGCTGGTACTTCCAGCCAATGGATCGAACGTTCATCGATTTTCGGACCAAACTGTTCATTCCGTCAGCGCCGATCTGCAAAAATTAAGAAATGGAAGTCAGTCAAATATTCATAGAGATTCAAATACACAATACAAGAAAAATTTCTTACATTTACATTTATTTACGCAAAGCAGTCTCTGTAAACTTTACAAAAAGTTTTCGATCATAAAAGAGAAATGTCACGAAAATCATGAACAGTACCAACTGCATAGAGTTCAAAAATTCCGAGTAACTTTTCAGCCGTGGTAGATTCATAACGCTGTTCAGTCTTCTAAAAGAATACTCAGAATCCATTCGCTTTAGGTAATACTAATTTTGAGTCAGCTACCATGTCGATGAGGTAATCTTCATAATACGTTACAGTCGCCACAGCACATATTACACAGACACAGTAGCGCATAGTACGTTTATATTATACAAATATCAAAATATCTTCATAACCTGGAGTATGTCAAACAACGAACGAGTTCCTCATGACAAGATTTCACGGTATATTTCACTGTTCTCATGTTCCTGTTCTCCTACGGAGGCCATTTAAGCAGGGTTGACATAATAATAGCGGACCACCTGCAGCGCCTCGTTTCAGTTTGTCGGCAAGAGCCAGCTTGGTCATCACGAACGATGGCACAAAAGCTGCCACTCCTCAAACTTTACATGGCATAAGCATCATAAGTTGTTCGTACGCATGAGTTGTCAG